TTGCAAACAATAAATCTCAAATGCTGGGTCATGACCTACCTACCTATTTGGACCCTGGCTCCACCTGGGACTTAACCTGAAGCCCCGAGTCTTCCTCTGCCTAGAACACTCTCCCCGCTCTTCCACAGATGGATGCACGAGGGTCTCCTTTTAGACACAGTTCAAGTGCCAAGTCCTCAGAGAGGCCCCTGATCCTCTATTTCAAAGGCTGCACCCCATCCCTGCTTTGGGCTCCCCCCTCACTCCTGCACGTGTCCCATCTCTGACTATCACGACGTTCCCTTGTATATGCATTTATGGGCCATCTCCTAATATACAGGGAAGGCCCACAAGGACAGGACTTCATCTGGAGCGCTGCATTACCCCAGAGCCCAGCACAGTGCCTGGCATGCAATGGGTGCTCAGAAAAATTGTTGAACACATGAAAAACTCCACTATTGCTTTCTGAAAATCGTCTTCCTTCTTGTTAGTCACCTCTGTCATGTCTAACAACTCTCTCCACTGGACATTTCCATCAGCATACAGACAGCCCTCCTTTAGAAATCCTTCACACTAAAAACCCTTCAGCTTGGTTCTGTTTCTCTGCCACCTTCAGAGCCCATGTCCCACCATGGTGGCCACTACTCTTTCCCGTTCCTTTTCTTCTACTTACTCCTCAGCTGCCAATCTACGCTCTGCCCCTTTTCTTATCAATAAAGCTGCTCATATCAAGGTTCTCTGTGATGCCAGATCCAAAGGTCACCTCTGTCTTCATCCTAATCTTTCCTCAACATTCTACAAAAAGCCTCACTCCCATCTGGAACACTGCTCTCTGTTGAGCCCCCAAGCACCACTTCCCAGGTTTTCTTCCCCTCTCTCCCAAGCTCCTGCTCAGTCTCCTTTGCTGGGTCCTCCTCTTGTACCTGAGACTGAAATAACTGGGTTCCTCAGGGTCTGGGTGGGAGCTTCTTTCTGTTTACTCCCTCCCTGTGTGAGCTGTTTTCAATGATTTAAGCTGATTATCTTCAAGCTGATGACTCTCAAATGTGTTCAATTTTAAAACACATCACTCTTCTGCTTAAAATCCTTCCAGTGGCTTATTTCTGTACATGTGGGTTTTGTTTGCTCTGGCTTGTCCTCTCCCATTAGAATACTAGCTCCATGAGCACAGGAGTCATGTCTCTTGTACTGGCTTTTTTACACTCTGGAGTCAAGCACAGGACCCGGCACGAGACTGACTGAGTCTATTACCCCAGGACCAGTCAGGATCCGGTCATCAACATGGAAGTACAAAGGCTGGTAACATCTGGGACTGAACTTTTCAGATTAGGAGACCATGACATGCCCACACTAGACAATCCCAAGAAACTGGGTAAATTCCAGAACCATCTATTTCGGGAGGAAAGATGTCCCAGCCCCTGTCTTTCAAGGCTAATCCTTTCCCCTGTGCTCTGGGGCCCATCCCCACCTTCCTCCTCTGACATTTATCCCCTCAACTATATCTACTCAGCTGTTCTCCCCAACCTAACCTCTCCCTTCCCAAGGGAAGCATTATTTAGCATAAAACCATATGTGAGTCCTAACTGAGTCATAGCTCAACACACAAATGGAAACACACCAGTCCTCCCCAGTTCCAAGGTTCCCCTCTAGCTACCATCTCACACCTCTTCACGTCCATAGCAAAGTCCCAAAGAGAACCCCAAGTTCATCTCGGTTTCTTGACTCCTCCTACGGCAATGCTTGCTGCTCCGTGACCATCAGATCTCTCATTTGTCTAGTTATAGGTAACGAGGTAAGCACTTAGCCCTCATAAGACATCTGACACAGCCTCCTCTGGTCATGAAAGCACCATCCTCTCCAGGTTTTACTCTTGGCTGTGGCACAATTCTTTTTCAGGCTCCCTTTTCTCTCCCCTTAAAGGCTGATTTTCACTGGCTTTGAACCTTGGTCCTTGTTTTTTCCTCATTCTATAAACTCTCCAAGATGCCTTTAACCTCTGCTACCACCTGCATGCTGCTAACTCCTAAATCCTTATTCCCAGCCCAGCCTCTCTAAGTTCTACATATATGTAGCCAATGGATATTGGACTGCTCAATGGACATTTCCACTTGATTGTCCCCACCGATATTTCAAATCCAAGAAGCTCAAAACCACCCTAGCCCCTCAAATGCCCCCTCTTCTTGTAATCCCCAAACCAATTCCTATCCACTCGGATATCCAATCCACGAAATCTGGGAGAAAACCCAGGCTCCTCCGCCTCCCTCACTTTCTAAGTGCAAATCCAAGCCTGACTATTCTTCCTCTTCAATTTGTCCCTGATCAATCCTGTCTTCTCTATTCTAATAGGTACTGGACTATTTTGGCTCTTACCATCTCCCACCACACAGAACTCTGCCTCCTAACTGGCCTCCCTGCATCCAGGCTTGCTATCTGTCAAGCTGTCTCCTGTACACGTACAACAGTTTCATTCTAAAACAAAAATCTGAGTATACTGTCTTTCCTGACTCTCCATCCACAGCAGGATGGGGACCAATCACCTCTGTGCAGCACACATGGTTCTGTGATGTGGCCTAACTAGGCTCGACCTCCCACCTGGCACACTCTCTTCCCATCACATCAAACTACTGCGAAAACACAGCTGGCTCAGACATCGTACCCTTGTGTATAGTGTGTTCTCCACCTGGAATATGCTATGCCACTTCTCCCTATAAAACTCCAGCTTCTCCAAAACTCAGCCCAGTCATCATGGCCCTCCTGCTGCAAAGCCCTCTCCAGCACCCCTAGATGGCCTAGCCTATGCTTCCTCAGAATTTCCACTGCCTCTTGTACATTTGTCCAAAGGTCACACAGTATCCTAGTAGTCACTTTGTATGTCTGTTTTCACATCAGAATATAAGTGCCTGGAAGTCAAGGATGATATATTTCTCTTCTGACTCCCCAACACGAAGCAAAATGCAAGGCATGGTAGACACTAAAAATACTCAGGACTGAGTAAACTTTTGAGTTCTATGCACACTGCATTAGCTGCAATTTCTCCCAACCCTCTCCAAGGTTTATTACACTTTTAGACTGAAGCATATGTTGTTTTTCTCTGCCTGGAATGCACTCCAATTTCTTGTCCAAAAAGGCATAACTTTATAGTGAAAAAAGCACAAACTTATAAGCAGATAGATCTAAACTCAAAAACATCTTCAGTACTAATTAATTGTATGTCTTTGGGCAAATCATAACTTTAAAAAGCTTTGGTTTCTTATACTGTGAAATCAGAATAATATTCATCTTGAAGAGTTGTTCTGAGGACTAAATGAGATCACAGCAAACGCCAGGCAGACAATTAGTGTCAGTACCTTTCACTTTATCTGAGCTCACATCACCTTCTCTATGGAACATTTCTCCTTTATCCTTGAAGAGTTACACAACCCCTTCCTTCTGCCCTCCTATACTAACCTTAATTCTATCATAGCATTATTGCATTATTTTATTTTGATTTTTAGTTATCTGCATTTCTCCATTTGATTATAAGCATCTGGCTATGGAGATTTTTGCCTTGTTTGGTGAGGAAGTTATTCGTTATTGAATATTCTTCATCCAAATCCTACATTAGAAGGTTGAAAAAGTTGATGAGAAAGCGCACCTGTGACCTCAACCATTGATAAAATTGTAATTCAACGTCTCTCCCTGTTTAACACTAGCAACTATGCCTTAATATGGGTCAATCTTTAGCTGATTCACTGAAGAACAACCAATAATCCCCTTCAAATATGATGTAAACTGATTATAGAATGAAACTGCAAATCCTGCAAAAGAAAAAAGCTAAGCAAATAGATAAAAGTTACATTGTAGAATGCCCAAACCACATGAAAAGTCTTGAAAAATTAAAAGATGGTGGACTATGTATAAAATAGATGAGCAGCAAGGGTACACTGTATAGCACTGGGAATTAAAGCCATTAACTTGTAATAACTTTTAATGGAGTACGGCCTGTAAAATACTTACTCACTATGCTGTATACCTAAAGCTAATATAATAATGTAAATCAACTACATGTCAATAAAAAATTTTTTTTAAAAAATGGTGGAACAAAACCATGCAGTTAGCTGACAAACCAACAAGGATGAAGACAAGATGGGCACTTCAAAAGAAGTTACCTTTGATACTCAAAGGTACAATACTGTTCAACAGTAAGGCCAAGACAAGAATTCAATACAGGTATTCATGCTACTCTTCTGTTCCAAACTTACCTAGTGGACCAGAGCCCTCCAGGTTAAGTCACATTCTAAACCCCACTGAAGCCTCAGATCTATTCTAGAAATGGGAGACTGTTTCAAAAATTTCTCATCTCAATAAATTCCATTCCAAAGACCGAAGAATTAAGTCTAAAATCTTAAGATTACATGATTATGTACAAAACACTGTGCTCACTGCAATAAGGCGTGGGAAGGCGTTGTCAAAAAAGAGCTTAAGAGTTCCCCTTGATCTTAACATACTTTGGGAGCCGTAATAGACTGCACATCAACGCACAGCTCAAAGAATTCACGGATTCCTCAGATTTGAAGACTGTCTCAAGTTTCTATCCACCTGACAGCTCGAAAAGGGCTTTGCTATACCAACTTGAGAAACTAGGAGCGAACTCGGACCACTCTATTTTCAACTGGTTCAGAGCAGTGCTCTGGATACATTACGTTCTTTCCTTTCTCCCTTACACTGTTTGGAGCGTCCGCTGCCTCTCGTTCAAAGCTCTGCCCAGTTCAGTTCAAACTCGGCTGGCATAAAATGGAAAAAACAAAATTAAAAGTCTCAACAAAAGTCAAGAGTCTCACAAAGCCAGTGGGCTTGGTAGACCCCGGAAGTGGGCGGAAAGCGTCCGACTCTCCCACCTGCCTCTGGGCAAGGTCGCCGCCCTCTTCTGCCCGGCACAAGGGGCGCGGCCGCTTCCTCCCTCCTCCCCCGCTCCTCTACCCCACCCCCGGCCCGAGCCTCCCCTCGCTCTAGCTCTCCAGGGGGCGGGAGAGTGGTGATACCTGGAGGTTGTTGGAAGTGGATGCCATGGCGGAGATTCGAGGCGGTTCCTGGAGGAGGAACGGGGGCAGAGAAAGCCAACAGCACCACTGTCGATTCCGCCCGCAGGTGCCCCAAACGTGAGCAGGCTGGTGCCTCTCAGACCCCAAGTGGCGGCGTCCCTTCCAGAACTTGTTCCAAAACAACACTGCGCTCCAAGAACCGCCCGACCCTCCTCACGAAACTTCCGCAATCCCGAGCCCCTCGGGGCTCTGGTCCCGCCTCTGGCCTCACAACTTCCGCTTTCGTCATCAGCACGCGCACCACCCAGTCGGGAAGCCATCCTAGTCTCGCGTTAGCTTGGAGCCTCGCGAGGCCTGGAGAGGGGTCCCGAGGCCTGGCGGAAGTCAGCCTGTGCGCAGGCGCACTGCGGCTCCAGCATGGGAGCAAGGGGACCGCCTGGAGCCGGAAACGGTTTGTTTTGCCCCGTTTTTTGGGTGTCTTGTATTTTGAGATGAGTTATTGGTTCAGGTTCCTTTTACTCGACGTCGTGGAGAGTGCTCTGTCGCTCTGTGGCTTTTGTGTGAAAACAGTTACCCCGTCTCCCAGACCCAGTGTTTGGGAACTTAGGGCCCGTTACCATTTCCTCCTCTGAGAAGTGGGTAGTTAAGAGTACCGACCTCAGAGTTGTGGAGGACGCTAGTGCGGCGCGACTGGGCGCATAGCACGGTGATGGGAGAACAGGAAGGTCTCAGTACGTGTTAGCGCTTCTTACTGCTCACGCTTAACACTTCATCCAGCAAGCATGTTTCCAGTGGTTATTGTCTTGGCTCTACGAGGCCCCGAGAATATTAAAAAAAATTATGTATGGCCGCTGCCGTCGAGGAGCTTGGCAGTAGTCTAGTGGGGATGCAGACTCCCGGACACAAGTCTTGTGAAACTGTTAGGCCAGGTATTATTTATTCCAGTTATAGTTACAAGGAAGGTTAATAGCTTGAGAGGTTTAGTGCTTTATGTGAGACCACGGAAATCAGGGCTTTGTAGCAGAACTGAGATAAGACCTGTTTGCAGCCACAGTACTCTTTTTCTTCCTTCCTTTCATAGTTCAGCTTCTCAAAGGAAAGTGAAATAGGTGGTTAATCACTCTACCATTTTATTTCCTGCTCACTCCCTAATTCTCCTAAATAATTAAAGTGCTTCCTCCTCCTTCTTATTTGGTATTGTCAACTACCCAGCTCTTGAAATCTCTTCTGTGTGGTGTCCTAATGTCCTTCTGACCTCCTCACTTCCTCAGCTTCTTACTCTTAACGGCAGAATATCCTCAAGAGCATCCTCTTTTTTCTCACTACTCAGTCTCTGCTAATGTTACTCCCTTTCTGGGCTTCAGATAGCAATATGATAGGAATGGCTTCAAATTTAAACGACTCAGCCCACCCTGCCTTCTGCCCAGCATTTATAGCTACCTCTCAGAGAACTCCAAAAACCATAGGGTTTCCCCAGAAGACAAATTCAACACATTAGAAGTCAGATTAATTATCTTATACCCCAAACTTAACTTCTCTGGTTTTTCCTTCTCAGAATATCACGAAGTCTCCATCATCCAGGTTCAAAGCTAAAGCCCTCTCCGCCTGCACCTATCAATGCTCCTCCTGGCCCCTTCATGTCCCCTTCCAGTTACTGATGAAATTCTGTAGGGACTCCAGCCCTTAGAATGTCAGCGCATAAAAGACACTTAATAAATATTAAGCTGTACAACTGAGCTGTTTAAAATAACTCGCTCGTTCCTTAAGGTCTTTAATTTTGCCTGAAGGTATAACCAGACTCCAATTTACCTTTCAATTCAATCCCTAAATTTTACTGAACACCCACTAAACACAAGTCTACTAGGCATTAAGAAACTATGAGGATGACTAAGATATGGTCTTTGTCATTTAGGATTTTACAGTTTAGTGGAAGGCACAGACATGTAATAATGAAAAGAGAATTCACTGAGATATTTGAGTACTACAATTGGGTATCACAAAGTGCCAGGCTGTTTTGGAAGCAGGATATAAACCAAACAGTCAAAAATCCCTCTTTTATCACCAAAACGGTAGTAAGTCGTGTTGATATCATGTACCCTCTAATGTGCAACGAGAAAAGTATCACCTGTGGTATTCTTAAAAGTCCCAAACCTGTGTCATCATGAGAGAAAAACTGTAAAAACACAAATTGAGTTGTTTTTTAAACTATGAAATGCCTAATATCAAAGTCATGAAAGACAAGGAGAGACTGAAAAACTTGTCACTGATTGCAGGAGACTCAGGGACTGACACGTAAATGCAATATGTTCTGGACTGGATCCTGGAACAGAAAAAGACAGTGGAAAAACTGATCCCAAAATCCAAATAAAGTCCGTATTTTAGCTAGTATTGTTATACTGATGACAATTTCTTAGTTTTGTTAAATATATAGTGGTTATTTAAGGTGTTAGCAGTAGGGGATGTTGGGTGAAGAGTATATGCAAATTATTTATGTATCTTTGCAACTGCATCTTTAAATCTTAAAACTGATTTTGACAGTGGCCAGGCTATTTCAGGCAGGAAAAAAAAGCATGAATAAAGGCACAGAAGTGTAAAATATATGACGTATTTGAGGGCTGGCTGGGATGTAGAAAGCAGGGGGAGCTGCAGGGAAGGAGTGACTGGAGGGAAAGCTAAAAATGCACCAGCTGGCACTGCCAGGTGCTCCAGCTTTGAAGATAAGGAGTTTGGACTTTGTTCTGTAAGGATTCACTGAAAGGTTTTCTCCTCCCTCTTTCTCTCTCTCCCTCCCTGTTTCCCTCCTTCCCTCCTTCTTTCCCTCTTTCCCTCCCTTCCTAATTTTGTTCCTTTTAGAAGAAAGAAGCTAGTGGAGTCTTGATTTGGTCGGATACATGTTTCCCCTGCTCTCCAAAAGCAGCGTGTTCGTACGTGAAACCATTCCTACATGAAACCTTTCATATTTCATAAGCTGAAATGGCCTAAAGCAAAAAAAAATCTTGCTAACAGATGCACGAAATAAATCAAGATAAAGCACAGATGCTCACAGACACAGTTCAAAGCTATAGCAACTTGATGCTGAGATGCTGAATGTAGTTCTGGGGAAAGAGCTTGGCGGTGCCACTGCCCATGGTGGTACCCGGGGTGTGCTCCCTCTGTAATTCACTGCAAAACAAGCACTGTATGCTATTTTTTTCTGCATTTTCTTATAAAAGCAAAAGCCCTTTACAAATTTCTTTCAGTTAGCGAAAATGGGTCCTAACACAGGTCTTTCATAAAAGTGAAGTGGCACAAAGCAAATTTTCAAAATGCAGGGAGTCCTGTGTTGGTTTTATGGAGATGGATCTCACAGTTGGTTTTATAGGAGGGACAGGGGAGACAGGAGGCAGGAATGTCAGGCAGGAAGCTACTGCAACAGTCTTAACGTTTTAGAAAACAAGGTCTTCAGAGATGAACAGCGTATTCCCCACTTCTGAAGCACAGCCCCAATTTGGACTTTGATTAATACATCCTCTCTCCCTCAGTTGTGTTCACCAATTCAGCCTGCTAAAAGCGTACCTATTCTTCAAGTACCAGTTCGAGTATCACTTGCTGAAGACAGCTTTGAAACCTCCTTGAACTCTCATCGCACTTTGGGACCTTGAATTGTCCTGAGACAATGCATGCTAATTGTCTAATACAGTGCCTGGCGCATAACAGATACACAAAAAATTGTTAGCCTCACCTGCATAGTGTTACTCCTTTCTAGGCTGTAGAGTCACCAGGGCTAAATCTTCATTTTATTCATTTTTCTAACGCCTCCCCCCTCTCCCACGGATACACACAGAGTATGTGCTTAAATAGCCAAGGTTTGTTGAACAAAATGAAGTCTCCTTGTGAATGATCAAGGGCTTTGGAGATTAGGGAGCTTGGTCAGCTGGCAGGTGGCATCTGTGACTCATCCTTCAGCAAGGTCTCACATCCAGCCCATCCAGGACCAAACCCATCTCCCTCACCTTACAAGAAACACATAATACTAAAGTCGTCACAGCATGAGTAGGGCAGCCACTCATTATCCACCCAGGAGTCAGGTCTCTGCTCGAGTGACTCACCAGATCCCTCCCTGACCTGGGACACAGCTATAAGGAAGGCCAAGCACTGACAAGGCTGGTCATGTGAAGGAAGTGATTCATCCAGGTTCTCAGGCAGGAAACCTTTTCTCCATATCAGGCAGCACACCTTTCTGGAACCAACCCAGCAACGTCAGTCAGCCCTGGAAGGGCGGGCGTGTCCGCTGAAGCAGCCTCCTTGTGGATTATCTAAGGTGATTATGTTCGAAGGCATCAGCTCAGAGGAGAAAAGATGAGGTGCCTGCCCTCGGAAGGTTACATGCCAACGCCATCATCCCCCAGACTGCGGATAGTTCAAATACAGAAATGTTCATGTACACAGAGAATACATTGCAAACACCTTTCCCCACGCCTGTGCGACACAAGCCTTTCCTGGACATTTTCTCCAAGAATGTCTCCTTTGCTCTGGTGTTGGATTCAGGATTCAAGTGATTTTGCCTGATAATGTTCTACTTGTTGAAGGAAGGTGGAAAATATTTGATCTCTTCTCAAAACTCCCTCTTCCCTCTCAGAGAGTATCAGGTATGAGCTATCTTTCAGTTTTCTTCCTCTTTCAAAGCCCTCAGCTCAGTTAATTCCAATTAATTGATCTTTGCCAATAGGATAGGAAACATGGCATTTTATAGTCTTATTAGATATTCTCTCTGACATATTTACAGATACAATGACTTGCTTCATAATAATGCAGTGTAGGGGTGGGTAGGTTGAGTGTGTGTGTGTGTGTGATAAATGAAACAAGAATGGCCTTGAATTGATGGCTTGTTGACCACTGCAACTGGGAATGGGTGCAGGGTGTGGGGGATGTTGACTGAACCAATCTCTCTACTTTTCTGTATGTTTAAAATTCTCCATGATAAGAAATTTTTTTAACAAATTGCATTTCATATTTGTGTTGAACTCCTGTTCACATTCTTTGTCCAACTTTCTATTGTATGTTCATTTTTCATCTTTCTTTTATTGATTTACTAAAATCTTTTGTGTATTAAGGAAGTTCATCTTTTGTTATATGTGTTGCAAATATTTTCCCATTTTCTTTCAGTTAGTACCTTTTTAGGTTTGAGAAATTAAGTTTCAATGTAGTCACATTTATCATTCTTTTCTTTCATTTTTTTTTGTTATGTTTACAAAGACCTGATACTAGGTTATCTAAAACAGCAGTACACCTGCCTGCTCTTCAGCTACTTTCAGTGTTTCATTGCTTCATTTAAATCTTTGCCCTCTCTGGAATTTATTTTGGTGTAATGATTAAGCTCAGGATCTAGCTTTGTTGTTTTACTTTTATTATTGTGAATGGGTGGTCAGTTGTCCAGGCATTATTTATTTAACACCCATCTTTTCTCCACTCATTTGAATGGCTACCTTTGTTGTATACCAGTTTCTCACATGGATTTATTTGTCTGAAATCTTGATTTTTTAATAAAGTATTCCTTTTCATCACCTTTCCTTATGCCAGCAAAAGATTTTTTTTATGACAGTAGCTTTATAATACAGTATCTTGTGGAACTGCCTGACTTACTCTAAGCAGAACAGAAAACTAGCTAACGGCTCAGGCACAGACGCTAGGATGCTTGGTTCAGACCTTGGCTCCCATGTGTATCAGGCAGTTACTTAGTCTCTAAGCTGCTATTTCTGCATCTATGAAACGGGGCTAGTAACACTACCTGTCTAATGGGGGAATTAAACAGAATTGGGCTTGGAACCTACCAAATGTTAACTAACCATAATTTTCTGTATAGTTAATATTTTCTCATATTTACTTTTCTGTGTTAACTTTAGCATTGTTTTCTCAAGGCCCACCTAAAAAGCTTATTGATTTTGTAACTGAATAGATAGATTAGGACAGATGAATATCTTTAAACTATTGAATTTCCCTCTGATATCAAAAACAGGTAATGTCTTTTTTTTAAGTCTTCTTGTATGCTTCTAGGCAGAGTTTCATTTTTTTCTTCATCTAGTTGTTGAAAAGCTCCTTTAGGCCTATTTCTAGGTATTTTATTGTGTTATTGTTGCTATCATAAGTAGTATATTTCCTTCTCATATTTTCTCACTAGTTACGGTTTTTCTAAAATTTTTATTTATTTATTCTTGTGGGAGAGGTAATTAGGATATTAATTAATTAATTTGTACAAATGGTGGTACTGGGGATTGAATCCAGGACCTTGTGCATGCTAAGCATGTGCTCTACCACCAAGCTGTGCCCTCCTCCACCCCAGTTAGGTTTATGTGTAGGAAACCATGCGAGCCTATGCAGATTAATTTGCCAGAGTTGTTGTTTCTAATAGATGATCAATATATTCTCTTGGAGTTTCTAGGTAAACAGTGAAAACAGCTGCCAACAGTGATATCTTTCCCTCTTTCCCTCACAGTGTTGAAAGTGTCAAGAGTAGTCATCCTTTTATTTTTCCTAACTTTGAAGGAAATGCTAGTAGTACTTCATAAATAATCATTTTAAATGGTATTGTATAAGTTTTCTATTTCTGTGTAACACATTACCACAAACTCAGCAGCTTAAAGCAACACATTTTCATTGTCTCACGGTTTCTATAGTTGGGAAGTCCGGGCATGTCCTAG